AGATGACCTTGAATAGTTGTTCTTGAGACACCTTGGGCAGAGTAGATAGAGTCCATCACTGACTTTACCAATTTCCAGAGGCCTCTTCATTGAAGGGGCCTGCAGAACACAGATATTATCAGTGAAGGCAACTATGCTTTTAGGAGTTGAGCTAGTTAAAGAGTGAATTGATATGAGATTATATTTGAAGGAAGGTATGTACATGACTTTATGCAAAATGATCTGAGGAAACAATATCACACTTCCAATCTGTGTTACTTTTACCTTATAGCCGTTTGGAAGGACTACTAATAAGGGATATGGTAGGGTCACAATATTAGTTAAGAGGGACAAGTTAAAGGTCATATGATTGGATGCTCCTGAATCTAATATCCAGGAGTTTGCCTTATTTTTGAAGCACTCACATGACAATTTGCTAAAATCAATAGAGGAGGTACATACTATTATACCTGCAAAGTTCACAGCACCATTTGTATGACTCGCAGAATTTGAACTTTCTCCTGCTGTTCCAATTTGGAAATGCTGCAACAAGCTCAGGATCTGCCCATATTGTTCCTTAGATATGTTGATTTGTCCCCCCTCATTTCCATCTTCTAATTCACTTTTTCCTGTAGGCATTGCTTCAGAGGGATTGCTTTGTACACTGGCCACTATTCTTCTACCCTTGTTGAACCTATCAGTTTGATTCAAGTTCTGTCCTCTATTTGGATTTTGAGTGTATGAGTTCCCAAAGTTTTGTGGGTATCCATGCAGTTTATAGCACTTGTCCTTGGTATGTCCCAACCTCTTGCAATAGTCGCAGAATGGGCGAGCCTATTCCCTCATGTTGCATTGTTATTGGCAGCATAGTTGGTCTTGTAGGAGCTAGGTCTTGATGTATTGACATTGAGGGAGGCAGACTCGAGGGGCATTTGATTGTTTGGTTTGATTTCTCTTTGTTTTTCATCCTGAACTAGTAATGAAAAGGCTTGTGCAAGATTTGGTAATGGATTCATCATAAGGATGCTACCTCGTACGACAGTGTAGACTTCATTCAGTCCCATGAGAAATTGAATCAACCTTCTATCCTGCTCAGCTTTATGCATATTCTCCTTGGCACCACATGTACAGGCACAGTTGCAGTGGGTCATCTTGCTCAAGGTGTTTAGCTCTTCCCATAACTTCTTCAACTTAGTGTAGTAGCTTGTGATGTCCAACACACCCTGAGATAAATCATTTATCTCCTTTTGAATTTGATATAGCCTAGCGCCATTAGTTTGCTCATATCTATCCTCGAATTCCTTCCACAGCTCAACGGCATCACTAGCATATTCTACGCTATCTGCAATCTCTTTGGAAAGAATTGAGAATCCAAGACGTTACCAATCGTCACATCGCTCCCATTGTCTGTACCTTTGAGATTGGGGCTCTGGTGGTTTACACTCACCACTTATGAACCCTAGTTTATTTTTGACAGATAAACCACGCATTACACTGCGTCTCCAGGATCTGTATCCGATTCCACTGAAAGGAACTGAAACGAGCATTGCTCCAGGATTATCCGACGGGTGTAGGTAAAGAGGATCACTTGGATCTATTCCGGTGTTCGTTGCAGCTGGAACAGCTGTGTTGCCGGCAGATGAATCATCTTGGTCTAAAATCGCCATGGATGTGTGTTATCCACTAGAAATCTGAAGAATTAATCGTCAATTTCGCGATTTGAAGAGAATTAGGGCAAGCTTCGATTTGGTCGAAGAGATGAAATCACTAAGGGAACAAATTGGAGATGGTGACCGGAGATGAAGGTGAATTGTCGGGGATGAGCTTCACCCGCTCTGATACCATGTTAAGATATGGAATGAGTGTGGAGTTGAAGCTCAAGTTCGAGCTTCAATGGTGTTCCTCTAGAACATTCTGAGGGAGGAGCACTTTGTCAGATGAGGAAATTTAGAAAATAAAATGAAGTGGAAAGTCTAGTCATTCATTACTGTAATGAGTATATATATGTACATGTATACATGCTGAGTTGGCAGCTACAACTAAACAATTTCTAACTACTCAACTAACACATTCTACTCACATAACAGTATATACATGAATATTATAAATATACAATTCTCAACATATACCATGTTAAATAATTGATTGAGAGGACCATTTTCATAGTTCGACTCCTATATCTGACTTGGAAATTCATGTTATCAGATGTCAAACATTATACCGTTGACATATTAATTTGAAGTCCATTATTATCTATACACTCCTATGTCTTAGCAGGTGCCAAGGATAACTGATAGGCAAAAGGTCGCACAGCTAATTTAATCTTTATATAATTAATAATGCAACATTTGATTTTCCTTTATGTATCTCTGCATAAAGTACAATATATGAAATATTAGTATTGGTTTAACTTATACTATCCACATATCATTTTATATGGGACTGTATATGGAGTGGCAGGTGCACAAATAGTCATTCTTAGGGATGCTATTTAGAGTTTAGCTAGTAGTACTTATTTTGCCATGAAATTTTAAACTAAAAATCTTAAATGAAATTCAGGATGCACGGATTAATTCGTAAATACAGCCTTTTAAAGTAGCTTTGTATAGTGTTATTTCTACGTATATGGAATATGAATATACATGGTACACTGTAGCCATACATTTATAGGAGTATGTCAAGTTAGAAGTGCGCAATTTTTAGCTGAAACCACCATTTAAAATGAAGAAGGAAAAAAAAAAACTTTGAGAATTGGATAATACAAAGCTGGAGTTCCCTTGGCATTAGAAAACATGAAACCAAGAAATTCTTCACAAAATATGAATCTATGGATGTATAAATAACAACGGAAAACCATAAATCAGAATTACTTGAGCTCAAGATAATTTTATCTTTTAATTTATTAAGAAAAACAAGAAGCCCAAGGCCAAAGAATTATGTACATGTACAATTACAGTGTTTGTGCGTTGAAATCTAGTTAACTTGTCATCATAAGTTTGAACTCATCAAAGCTGAGGACTCCATCTCCATTGATATCAAATCTCTGAATCATAGCTTTGCAATTATCAATGGAGGTTGACTCACCGAGTCGACTCAGCATTCTTTTCAAGCTCTTAGGAGTAATGTAGCCACTCTCCTCCATTTCATACATTCCAAATGCTCCAACCAACTCACTCTCCTTATTCCTCTCCTCTTCCATTCCTTCCATTAGCTTCGTAAAATCCTCCAAACCCAACAATCCATCCCCATCGGAATCCGATAGCCTCACCGCCATCTCCGCCTCCTCCACCGTCAGTTCGCCTCCTACTGCCTTCACACACCTCCTTAGCTCAGCAGGTGAAACTTTGCCGTCTCCGTTCTCGTCAAAGTACGTAAATACCCTCTCTAACTCGCTACTATTATTACTTCTGCTACTAGTATTACTCATCGAAAGACGATCACTAGTAATAGTTGTTGTTGTTGCCTTTTTGAGTGAAATCCTCTTCCTTAATCTTGAGAAATAAGATTTGTTTTCAACACTAGGTACAGAAACCGATTCCATGCACATGATGCACGTATAGTATAACAACTAAACTAGTAAGTCTAGACTGGTTTTTTCCTTTCAAGATAATTTGAGATATGTAAGTAGAATACAAAGGGTTGAACTTGAAGCTAAAAGGAAAACTTTGGATATGTTGATGAAGGAAGAGGAAAGGGATATATATATATATATATATATATTTATAAAAGAGATGTAGTTGGGGTGAAGAATCAGTGGGAGTTGGCATTTTTCCGTGGGCAAAGCACGTAATGGAAACTTCGTGCTGGGCATGAGTAGGAATTATATATGAAAAGACTCTGTATTTGGAAGTTGTACGGCGTTAGTTTCTAGATAAAAAATGAATCTGGTTTTTAGAAGGTTTGAAAAGTAAAAGATCGTCACACACGCTATAAAAGATAGTATAATGATAATGATGTGAGACAGAGCTTGTGGATATATTGAAGGTAAATTTGACGCGTTTGGTTTGTGTGTGTACAGTAGGGAGAGGTAGGCCATTCTTCAAGTTATACCAATAATGAAATTTTTTTTATAACCGTGAGCCCGAAATATTTTATGTATATTTTAACTCATTAGACGCAATATTTATTACCTTCCATCAGTATAGATATCGAATAACTTAATTCATTAAAGCTTGGATAGATGGAAGAAATTATTAATTAGTAGTAGTTTTATTTTGCTTTTTTTTTTCTTTTAAATTTTTGATGAATTTTTTATTTTCCATTGATCACTAATCATAGCCTATTGGTTGCTGTTATTTTAATATTGAATTGGCATTTGTCATGGTCGTGTGTGTGCCTGTATATATTTACGTAATCTGATGCCATACCAAATTGAGGATTTTAAATACAAAACGTCTTATTAATTTATATTTGAATCTCTTTCTAATGTTTCTTTAGTTACTTCTTTCTTTATAAATAAGAACAAATAAAATATGAATGTTGGTAGTAGGCATTTGTTGAACCGTGGTGTGTGTTTTTGTTCGAAGAAACTTAAAAAGCTATTTCTGGAATATTCTTTTCTTTGGTTGTTACCTTTTGGCCTTTCTTTCTGGTCTAAGGGGTGAGACGAGGTAGAGGAACAATATTTTATGGTCTTAGAGTTGGTTTTTATAGAATGATATCTAAAAGAAAAAATTACAAGAAAATAAACGTGACTTCACGCCATAATAAAAAATGGTTCATGTTTTTAAGTTTTGTTTCACCTGGCCCATATGGTACATATTTTGAAAGTACCAGCAAATTCAAAATCTGTGTTCTCACAATTATTGCTTCTAAAAGCTATGGAGTTAAATCGGTGTTCTCACAACATTTCACTCTCTCGTCTTCTCACATATGCTTCAAGTGGCCGTCCGCCATTACTCTTCTCTCACTGTATTACCTGGTTGGAAATGTAAGAAAATTGAAGAGTAGAAGTCCACCATTGAAGGCCATTCAAAGCTTTGCTTCGGAAAATAGGATTTTTTGAAAATAGAACAAGAATCTTGTATAATAGTGTATATATGAGTGTATAAACACATCTTATACACTTTTATACACCTTTATACAAGCGTCTGTAGACGAACTTCTTCCAAGATTTTCAGTTGCAATTCTTGTTCAAAACCAGTCCAAATCTCCATTAAATGACTTCAAATTTTATATAGAACCTCCTTATGCTATTTCTAACAAGTCTAAATAACACCCACTCCAAATTTCTCGCAAAACAAATTCGGAATTTAAACCACATATTTAAGCTTGTTAAAAATCTAATTTTCACCACCCAAATGGATTTGGTTTGTTGAACTAATATTTGAGTCACAATTACTGATTCAAAAATTAACTTAAAAGCTTGAGCAATTTTTAAAAAAATTAAATAGTAATTTCGAGAACCTATTCGAGTTGGATGTTGAATCCTAGCCTATTATTTTTGAGCTAATTGATTATAAATTGAAATATGAGCTATAAAATTGAAAAGTAGGGAGCCCAGCTATTATCGTGTGAAATTTTCCCTATCTAAAATAGCCTTCTCTTTTTCCTAAATATGCTTTTTAACTTTTTGTTTGGCACAAGGGTAGTTGGAAGGGGCTCGGGTAAAATGAGTAATTACATTTCTCCGTTCTGATATTTATCATTGAGTTTAAACTATGTGCACAGTGTACAAATTTGTACACATCAGGTTGAGTTAACTAACAACAATAAGTAAATCATCATAACATATTCGATATAGTAGTTAACTTGAAATTAAGGATTAATCTGCTATAGTAGGTTAAAATGTTCACTTAGTCATGAATATAAACTTAAATCCTTTATTATTTGGGCAATTTTCGCTAAGACCTCCTGAAGTTAGGAACCGACCCTTTGGCCTTTTAGTTATGGAAGTGATAAATGTAGTCTTTTATGATTGTCGAGGAAAAATGTGCTTAGTTGGTGCTCTCTATATATATTGGAGGATTATTGTAAAGATATGTTGGGATAAAAATAAAAATGCCACTCAGGAATAATATCCACGGTAAATAATAATAACACAAGAGAGTAACAACGACACCAAATATTTTAACGGGATAAAATACAATACCCCGGCGGAGCAATATTACCACTATAATATTACAACTTAATAGTATTGTCAAGAGACTACTACAACTTCGAAAGAAATAACACTCTTTATTTTAAACACCTCACTACAATATTACTCCCACTCATTATTTATCTCACAGACTACAATCTGTGGATTACTCTCTCTAACTCTCTGTTGCTTCCCTCGATTTGGTGTGTCTAAACAAGAAGAATTGAGCCTCTATTTATAGCAGGAATTGCCAAAGTTTGGACCAATCAGAAGGTTCAATTTCATTGCAATTTGCAAAGTAAATTGCCACCGCCCAAAGTTTGTTTTGGTTTCACTGACTTGTTGCAACTTGCAATGCAACTTAAAACCTTTTTGTTTCTGCCGTTATTGAACAAGTTGTCATTGCAACTTGTTTCTTTCTTATTTTAATTGCTTTTAATTTTGATTGGCCCCACAAACCTCTCCCTTAATTTTGATTTTTCTTCTTCATTCCAAGACAGGATCTCAATCTCTCAAAATCTTCAAACTTGAGAGGCTTTGTGAAGATATCTGCAACTTGATCATGAGACTTCACATACTTGAGCTCAATTTTCTTCTTGGCAATGCATTCTCTGATGAAGTAATACCTTGTATCAATATGCTTCCTTCGATCATGATACATTGGATTCTTCGCGAGTGCCTGTGCGGATTTGTTGTCAATGCAAATCTCCGTAGCTTCAATTTGTGGCAGATTGAGCTCCTTCAATAATCTTCTCAACCAAATAGCATGACAGGTACAAGATGCTGCTGCTATATATTCAGCTTCACAAGTCGAGAGAGTAACAATTGGTTGTTTCTTTGAACTCCAAGAAATAACAGAATCACCCAAGAAAAATACAAAACCAGTTGTACTTTTTCTATCATCAATATCTCCGGCATAATCACTATCACAAAATCCCATAAGGTTGAAATCATTAGAGGAAGAATAAAATAACCCAAAGTAAATCGTACCTTTTAGGTAACGAAGAATTCTTCTAGCGACCTTCAAGTGAGTGGAGCTAGGAGCTTCCATGAAGCGACTTACTACTCCAACTGCAAAGAGTATATCTGGCCTGGTACAAGTCAAGTACCTCAAACTTCCCACAAGGCTTTTAAAAAATGTGGGATCCACCTTTTCTCCTTCATCAAACTTGGATAATTTTGTCCCACTCTCCATCGGTGTGTTCACGGGGTTGCAATCGAGCTTGTTGAACTTCTTCAATATCTCTTTTGTATAGCTTTCTTGAGAGATAAAAATTCCATCCTCCATCTGCTTCACTTCTAGGCCCAGGTAATATGACATAAGCCCTACGTCTGTCATCTCAAACTCACAGGACATATCTTTCTTAAAAGCTTCAAACAAACTTGAGTTATTGCCCGTGAAAATAAGATCATCAACATAAAGACAAACAAGTAAGATATCTCCATTAGTATGAACTTTAAGGTAAAGGCAATATTCATGGAGACAACGAGTAAACCCATTGTCTTGAAAATATTTGTCGATGCAACTATTCCATGCTCGTGGGACTTGCTTTAATCCATATAAAGCTTTCTTCAACCGCAACACTTTATCTTCATGGTTTTTGACCACGAAGCCCAATGGTTGTTCAACATAGACTTCTTCTTCAAGATAGCCATTCAAGAAGGCTGACTTGACATCTAGTTGATGGATCTTCCACTTTATTTGCGCCGCCAAAGAGATCAGCAAACGAATCGTCTCCATGCAGGCAACAGGTGCATAGACTTCTTCATAGTCAATGCCTTGTCTTTGCTTGTAGCCTTTAGCCACAAGTCGTGCCTTGTATTTCTCCACATCTCCATCAGTATTTTTCTTTACTTTGTATACTCATTTCACTCCAATTGCTCGATGACCCTTGGGAAGAGTTGTTAACTAACAAGTGTTGTTCTTCTCTATTGACTCAATCTCCTCCTCCATGGCTTGTCTCCACTTTTTGTTTCTAACAGCTTCATCAAAGTTCATTGGTTCACTGTCAGCAAAGAGACAACATAAAAAATCAAAATTAGTAACTTCTTTTGTGTCCTCATAGAGCTTTTGAATACTCCTTGTCCTTTGCGGTTGTTCATTTGAACTTTCTTGAGAAGAGGGAGATGCAACATTGGTTGGAGGAGGAGGTGGAGTTGTATCCTGCACAGGTTCCACGGTCTCTGATTCTTATTCATCACCAAAATATGGAAGAAAATCATATGAAGTTTCTTCCTGAGCTTCCCAATCCCATGCCAATTCTTATCAAATTCAACATCGCGACTTACCACCACCTTACCGCTGCTTGGGTTGTATAACTTGTAGACTTTTGAACTCGTATCATAGCCAACAAACACATGCTTGACACTTCGATCGTCAAGCTTCGCTCTCCCTTGCTGTGGCACATGAGCATGTGCTATGCTCCCAAAGATTCTCAAATGTTTGACACTTGGCTTTCTTCCACTCCATGCTTCTTGAGGGGTTTGATCTCTAACATGTCTTGTTGGAGACTGTTGTTCAAATAAACTGCACAAGAAACAGCTTCGGCCCAAAATTTCTTGGGCATACTTTTAGCTTTCAACATACATCGAGCCATATTAAGAATCGTTTGATTCTTTCTCTCT